AGTTATACCTCAAGTCTCGTCTGGGTAGCTGAATCCGAGCAAGTCTATGGTACGCCATTGGGACCAACTCCAAAATCTGCACAAAAAGTGCAGAGTGTAGTATGAGTACAACCGACCCCATATACTCCATAAGTGTCGAGCCTAACCTCGACGAAATAGTGACGAGACTATGACATGACACGTACGCAAACAACTTGTACAAGTATATACAAATATGAAGCAACAATAGCACAATAAATAATAATTTATAAATTTGGGAGGGAACATGGGGGATGATATAGTAATTTTAGCAGAAGAAGTGTCACGTAGCAGCCAATTAATTCATCAACAATAAAATGAGCAACTGATAATATGAAATAGCATGGCACCTCCCTTCGTGCTTTCACTCTCATCCTTCCTATAAATTTATAAATAAATAATAAGATTAGCACGACATCTCCCTTCGTGCTTTAACTCTCTTCTGGCATGGCATCACTCTTCGTGCTTTAACTCTCTTCTAGCACGGCATCACCCTTCGTGCTTTTACACTCTTTGAAAATGGCACGGCATCACCCTTCGTGCTTTTACACTCTTCCTTACCATGAAAATAATAATATAAATTCGAAAGAGTATTTAAATGCGGGGATATATACTTATCAATCAATCTAATACCAGAATACCGACTTCACCTTCTAAAATATTCAACAATAATTAAACTAGCAATAATTTCATGAAAAATGATCAAATAAACAATAATAACTTAAGCATGAATATCTTAATAAAATAGGTAATTATTCACAATAAATAAATTTTACCCGCATGTTTTGACTCAATCACAACGCAAAGTACTCGTCACCTCACATATACATTGTACTCGCACATTTAATCACATAGCAAATAGACAAATAAGTCCTACTCCTTCAAGTCAAGGTTAACCATGACACTTCTCTCGATTTGCAACCAACTCAAGATTCCAATAAACCTTTGCCTCGCGAATTGGTGTCCGAAAGATTCAAATCTAGTCACAAACAATTCAATATACTCAACACGATTCGTAGGAAATTAATTCATCATGGAATTTCTAATTTTCTGAATTAAATTCCGAAATTCATCTCAAAAATCAATAGTGGGATTCACGTCTCGAATCTCGAAAAAACTTACGAAATCCAAATACCCGTTCTGAGACGAGTCCAATCATACAAAAATTATCAAATTCCGATGTCAAATGGACCTTCAAATCCTAAATTTTCGTTTTTGGAAAGTTTTACAAAAATTTCAATTTCTTCCATCTAAATCTGAAATAAACGATGAATATAAGCATGGATTTATGAAATATAATCACTTTCGGGTATAGAACACTTACCCAAGTCGAAGTCGTGAAAACCCCCTTTGAAATCGTCCAAATTCGAGACTCAAAACTCAAAAAATGAGTAAAAATGGCTAACTCTCATTTTTATGAGTTCTGTCCAGGCTTTTTCGCATCTGCGAGCATAAGTGCCGCATCTGTGAGAAAAATCTCGCATTTGCAAAGTGAGGCTGCCAGGCCAAATTCCGCATCTGCGAACTTCAACGTCGCACCTGCGACATCGCAGAAGCGACCAAACGACCGCAGAAGCGCTTGGGCCTTCGCAGAAGCGGTCGCGCATCTGCGCCTCCTTCTTCGTAGGTGTGAAACACCAGAACCAGACCTGCATATTTTTATAAAAATGATCTGAAACATGTCCGAAACTCACCTGAGCCACTCGGGACCTTGTCCAATTATACCAACCAGTACCGTAACATAATACGGACTTACTCGGGGTCTCAAATCACATCAATCAACGCTAAAACCACGAATCATACCCCAATTCAAGCTTGAGGAACTTAAAAAATTTTAACTTTTACATTTGATGCCGAAACCTATCAAATCAAGTCCGATTGACCTCAAATTTTGTACACAAGTCATAAATGACATAACGGACCTATAAAAAAATTTTATAACTGGATTCCGACCCCGATATCAATAAAAGCCAATTTGTGGTCAAACTTTAGAATCTATAAGCTTTCAAACTTCCAATTTTTAACAAATGGCGATAACTCAAATTAGGGACCTCCAAATTAAATTCTAGGCATACGCCCAAGTCCCAAATCACGATACGGACTTACCGGAACTGTCAAAGTACTTATCCGGGTCTGTTTGCTCAAAATATTGAGCGAAGTCAACTCAAATAAGTTTTAAAGCACTATTTCACATTTTAATCAATTTTTCATATAAAAACTTTTTGAAAAATTTACGAACTGCGCACGCAAGTCGAGAAAAGCTAAATGGTGCTGTTTGAGGTTTAAGAACACAAAAATAATTATTAAATTTAAAGATGACCTATCGGGTCATCACATAAACCGACCGATATCGGTCGGTATTTTTATTTACAATTTTTTATTTGATTTTTTTGACCATTTTACTTTGTTTCAGACCAATTTCGATCGGTATTTATTTCCGACCGAAAGTCAGTTGGAATGCCTTGGATGAAATTTGCCAATTTTCTAGTAGTGATAATTGGAGTTTGCTGGAAATTAATATTCAGCTTATTAGTATATTAGTTTCTATGTACGTATTTCATACGTAACAACCCAACAAAGAGGAGAAAGATGAAATTAAATAAAACAGTAAAGTAAGTACAATACAATAGACACGACTAAAAATAAACATTGTTAAATTCATGCAACTTATATCTTATAAAATATCACTTGTTTAGCTAATTCATACCATATAGGAGTTTGTTTTATTATCACTATTGCATTTTAATTATTTATATAAACAACGCGGGTAAGGAAGATTGTGGTGTGCATTCATTTACAGATTGGATTATAAGAACTTGTGTTTTGTTGTAGCTTTCTACTATAGGAATGATCAGAGAAGCTTTTAGTCTTTTAAATATATAATAAATTTATAAATAACATGACAACAAACATGTGTGATGAAAAGCCATCTTGCGTTAAAATATTCTAGTATGTATTACTATCATCTTTTATAGAGTCAAAATAAGAAGGATTTTACTTTCACAAAATAATTTGACAATCGATATCTCATCTAGTTGATTGACATATTTATTTTTTCTAGTTATTATAGTTGTTGCCATAATGTATTTTGGAGAACTTATATTTTTATTTAGTGATGAAAATTATTAAAAAAATCTAGCACTACCATGACTGCTGTAATTGACAACCAATTATTTTGAAAGGAGGCCAAATCTCTTATTATACGCTCTTCCATATTTGTCATGAATGCTGAATCTTTTTTATTTGATGCTAGAAGTATTCTTTTTACCATACCTCTATTTACAATCTTCGTTATTGTCGATTTTGGAACTACTTATAACACTTGATGAAATTTACCTCCAAATCTTATTACTTTTCACCAAACGATACATCAATACTCATTATACCTCCAAAGCTTTTGTTAATATTTCGATTGACTGACACTTAACCATAGATGCTTATGTTCCTGTTTAGAGGAATCAATACTTAAGCTTTATACCAAAACCATTAACTATTTCAGGACAAAACTAAAAACACGTGCATCTTGGAAAAGATCCAAAAGAGATATAAAGAATGCGAATTAGGAGTAACGATTAAACAATATAATAGTTAAGCCAAGCGGAAAAGATTTAAACATAAGCGAAGTGGAAGAAATAATACATTTTGATACAGAATTTTGTTATGGAGTAATATACTTCTCAAAAAGCTTATGATGGAGAATACAAAATAGTGGCTTCTTTTATAGAAGTGCTTGAGTCTTTTTTCCTAATGGATGGATTCAGTAATATAATAAGTTCTCAAATTATTAAATCTGTAATAGGAATGGATTCCTAGAGTTATTGGTATTAGTTTAGGATTTGGACAATATAAGTAGAGGTTGTCAAATATATGAATTTTAGGAAGTATAACGTGTTCCTAGGAGGAATTGATATTATGTTTAGGGACAACTGGATGTATTCATGTATTTGTCCTATGGCTAATAGGATTAGAGGACCGACGTTGGAATTCCGGTTATGACCTTTCCTTAAAAGTTATTATATTTAAATTTTAAGGCTATTTTGGTAAACCAATATTATATTCATGCTTTTATAATAATATAAATAGATATAGATTAGTGCCGCTAGAATATTTGCGCAATCTGAATGTTGTTAGTGTTTTTTATTTAGTTTTGAGGTCTAGTTCTAGAGTCCAGATGCACTAGCAATTATAAATTGCTTATACTGGCTGAGTAAAAATATTTCCATTTCGACCGAAAAAAATAAATTGAACCAATCAATTTATATTCAGTACTTTTGGATGTTGCTAGAAAATTTCAGTCACAGAAGCATTATTATAACTCATTTCTAAGCCCAAATTATTTCCTGATCAAGTCGATCTAAATCGAGAACTAAGGATCGCAAAACTCAAATCTACAAGCTTCGCACACAAATAGCCTTCAAAATAAAAGAAATGAGAGAACAATATGTAAAAATATGCAAAATCTGATCAAAGCAACGATACCAAGAAGGATTGAACCTTGGATCACAGTTCTAAACTTTAGTTGCTCTAACAGCATGTACTCTTTCTGTTTTAAGTTATACTTTTTTCTTTGTTTGTACTAAAAGAATGTTCGTTTTATATTGAAAAGTAATTTAACTTTAAAATTATTCTTTTACTAGTAGTGAGATGATTTATGGTCAAATTTAAGAAAATAATAGGCAAGACATGGAGAATAACTTGTGTGTTATTCCAGCACGTGGGAGGTATATATACATATGCAAGGAACTCTAGTTAAAAAAAGCTAAGTAAGAAAAGAATCAAAAGAAATCTTATATATCCTTAGACTATGCACATTACCCTAAAGATGACTACATTCATTCTGTAAACATAAATCTTTAAATCAATAAACTAACATTCAATTTATATTAAAAAAAGATTTATATGTGTTTGATGGTAGGCGGCGAGTCAAAAAAGAAAAAGAAAAAAAGGAAAAAACAAAAACAAAAAGAAGATGCGAAAGGCAAGTGACAACTTTGTGGAGTACCGTGGCTGTGCTTCTCATTTTACTTTCACGAAACCAAAACAAATACCAATGCCATATAAAGCAACCCCCCACTTTCCCAAATCTACAGGTGGGATTTCTGTTTTCTGAAATTTTTTCTCCATCTGGGTCTGATCCAAATTTATTGGAATTGTCATCAAATGGATAATAATGAGAAATACTCGGAGGAGTTAAATGTGGCCGTCAGGGTTGTGCATATGGCATGTGCTCTCTGTCAAAAGGTGCAAAAGAGTTTGCTCTCTGCCACTTTTGATGATGATGTTAAGTCCAAGGATGACGATTCTCTTGTTACTGTTGCAGGTGCTTTTTTGTTTTTTCTTCATTTTTCTCGTATTGGGTTTCTGCAGAATGCTTTTGTGTTAATTTTTTTTTTTTTTTTTGGTTATAATGGGGGTTTGAACCCCTTCCCCGGCCCCAAAGGAAGTAATGATTTTGGTTTTTAATGCGAAACTCTTTGAGCTAGACTCTACTGCTCATTTGTTTCACTGGAAATTTAGCAGCTTTCTTTAGGTGTTGAAAGCACACCCTGGAATATGGCATTTTCTTTTTATTGCTTTCTCATGTACTGGGAGCTAGAAGTAGGATTGAAGTTATAGTGGGAAAAGGGTGTTAATGCCGAAATTTGAGTCGTCAGTTGAATTGGACGCGCAATTGGGCCATTGTCCATTAAGGGATAGACGTAATGTTTGTCTTGTCAACCGATATTATCCGATGCATAGTAGGCTACACGGATAATTATGCAGAGTGAGCGAACAAAGTCCACATTGAAAGTTGATAAGAAAACAAAACTACATATAAGGTGTAGGCAAACTCTTACTACTAAATAGTTTAGAAAAATCATGCGGGCTTGACCCAAAGCGGATAATATCTATCATTTCTGGCCTGCTAGCCCAACTAGTGGTATCATTTCTGGCCTGCTAGCCCAACTAGTGGTATTAGAGCTGATGGTTCTGTGAAACGAGTATAAAGATGACATAGTGATGCATAAAACGACCTGGCTTGACATATTTGCCCATCTACGAGCCGATTTACTACTTTTACTGTTATGTGGATATGCACACAAAAGAAGAAGCTTGTGGGCTTTGGTGACCATAAACACTCAGATGATGGATGACACACATCGACTCTCCATATAAGTCCATAAATCTTGGTGATGGTCCATGCGGTACTCTTAGTAGTGTGAGGCTCTTTGTGGGAACCGTGTGAGCTTGATCCAAAGCGGACAATATAATACCATGTTAAGAGTATCTTAGCCTGACATATTCTGCTTGAAGCTTGTAATTACTTTTATACAAGCCAAGAAATTACTGCATTTGATTATGTCTTTTAGCACAATGAAGACCTGGTCAACAAAGCCTATGCAGGGATTACGTAGAGATTGTTGGCCTATTGTCATAATTCGGACTTGTATATGTGTTCGGCCAGTTGGGTCTTGGAATGTGGTTGTTTAAAGGGCTTTACCTCTATTCCCAAATTAATATTTTTTCCTTATTATTTTTAAGTGGTATCCGCCTATTTTATATATATATATATNAGAGGGAGTATATATATATATATATATATATATATATATATATATATCCATAGTGCTCCTTAAAAAAATAGAATTTACACAAACATGTGTAAGGAACATTTATTTACGAAATGGTTTCGGATGATACCCTTGCTAAAGGGTGTCTAAGCACTGTCCATCAGCATAATTGTTTCTCCTTGGAGTCAAGTAATGTTAGTGGAATGCCATCTACAACACGATCCATTAACGTGCAATAGGAGTTGGCTGAATGTGTCACAACCCATGCCACTTCCATAGACCGTACCTTGTTTTTATGGATAGAACTCATGACATGATTAGACAGTCTGTTGAGTCTGTTAAGACTTCTTGTATAAATAGCACATATTGTACACCGATGGATATAATGCAATCATCACACAACCAGTCAATCAACTTCAGTTCAATTGTCCTTTGTCTTTCGGTCTTTACTTGCATTATTTACAGCATGCCTTTACTACTTTTTTTGCTTCTACCTTAGCCAAATGTTGTCTAGTCCGCTTTCCAAACACAACTTTAACTTGTGACTCCTTAGCCAGGCTCTGGGAACCTCCATAGGGGAAGCAAAGTTCCCTTCTCTACGTCAATCATCTGATTACAAATGAGAATCATGTGGAAACGAAGGGTTGGCTACTTCTAAATTTTGACACAACAAAGAGAAAGTAAGAAGTAGCACAAGAATGAGATAAGCATCTATTTTTGGTACACAATATTATGTAAAGAATACTCATTACTCTGAGATAATTTTGACTTTACGTTCCGTGTATTTATATGTCCCCTTATACTAGCTTAACCACATGAGCTACATTGCTGTTGGTCTGATAAAATTTAATGTATCTTTGTCCGGTGACGATGTTCTTAATTTGTTGAAGGAGAGACTTCTTTTTCAGAGGCAAATACATGCTTTAAAATAGTTGGAAAGTGGAAACGGACCTCAGATTGGTTAAAGTTATATCCTTAGATAATATAAAAGATTGCCTATTCTTTTTTCATTAACTACAGAGATGTGGGTTTCACGTGGAAATTGAAAATGCTTGGATGGTCAGATAATTGACAGTATTGTTAGTTCGACATGGGAACTGTTGGTCAGTTTCAACATGTTTGGTTTAGGGGTCTAACAGAAGAAGCTTTGATTCTCTGTTGTTTTTTTAATTATTATATAAAGGTGGTTTTCGGGGAGCTGGCGCACACCTCTATTGTTCACCAGGTAATCATTACCTCCCACCAGCACAAATAGTGAGTAACTGTACCTATGAAAACTTAGGCAGATGAAAAAGAATCACTTAGACTTTTTTGCCTCTACTGGGATCTGAACCTTGTCTCCTGTGGTTTCATTTCACTTCATTGACCGCTGTACCACACCATTGGGATTCTTACCAGACACAAAAACTTCACTCGACAAAAGCTTCAGTCTGTTGTCTTCTGCTCTATACTTATTAACTGATCTTTATGCTTAAAAATTACTTTAAGTTCAGTGACATTGCATGTCTAAGATCAAAAGATTCAAAGTGTATTTTTGGTATGTTATACACACTTAAGTTTAAGATTACAAGATTCAAAAGTCTTTTTTACAATCTTAACCTTTGTGCCTAGTCAAACTAAAACACATGAAATGAAACAGAGTAGCTTTTTTCTTTTTCTTTCACTGAATAGAAGAAATTCAGATGCTTTAGTTTTTATTTTGGCTGCTTAATAATTTAATTTTGGATGATTTTCCAGTAAAACTACTCCGGCGTCTGATGTCTCTCGATTATGACTTTGTAGGAGAGCGAAACAGCATCTCTAGATTGTTTGCTCAGGCTTTCTAGAGTTGTTACTGGATTTTGATAGTGTTTAACAGAAACCTGACACCTATAACGTGTATATTTGTCTGGATTGTTTGTTTCTACTCCTTAACATATTCAACGTGGAAGTTCTCTTACTGTTTCTACCTGCAATTCTGCATTAATATTTTCAAATGTTCACTTTTTATAGAATATCCATAGATTGCCTCCATGTCTGCTAAGTGTTTTCCTCGATTTGTTTGTACGGATAGATTGGAGTGTGCAAGCAACTGTAAGCTGGATCCTTTCAGATGCTTTTGGCAGAGAAAATGTCTCCATAATAGCTGAAGAAGACGTGCAAACTCTCTCCAAATCTGACTCAGCAGGTCTGTTGGGTAAAGTTATTAGCACGGTCAACGAATGCTTAGCAGAAGCTTCCAAATATGGCCTAAAAAGTCCTGATGAAGCCCTGGGGCCTTCAGAAGTTCTTGGGGCTATTAGTCGCTGCAGTTCAAGTGGCGGTCCTGTCGGTAGGCATTGGGTTCTTGACCCGGTTGATGGAACATTGGGGTTTGTGCGTGGAGGTCAATATGCTGTGGCACTAGCATTGATTGATAATGGAGAAGTTGTAATGGGAGTGCTAGGTTGTCCTAATTACCATGTGAAGAGGGACCGGCTTAATAACCAGAAGCAAAATCATATCGCATCAGATATTTCAATGCACTCATCTCATGTGTTGGAAGTAGGATGTGTGATGTACACAAGGAAAGGTACTGGTGAAGCTTGGGTGCAGCCACTGGTTTATGGCGATAGGAAATTTGAGTGGCCAAATTTTGCAAAACAAATTCATGTCTCTTCAATTGATGATGCCGCATTGGCAACTTTTTGTGAGCCAGTCGAGAGAGCCAATTCAAATCACAGCTTCATCGCTGGACTTGCTTGCTCTGTTGGGCTTAGGTTTGTTGACAATCTGTCTCCTGTAAACTATTGCCTGTTTAGAGCCAGTCTCCAAGAATTCACTTAGTTTCCAAAAGTTAAATTTGCAGGTTGACTAGGTCTTTCATTAACTGCAATACTAAGTTCCTTCCGTCTTCATAGACTTGTTCCCAATGTGTTTTTGGGTCAACACATTACCCTTGTTTATAAGAAAAATATGTTAATATGTTACTCAAGAAGAAAAATAAATACATGTTGATATATTATTTAAGCTTTGTGTGAATAGTGTTTTCTAACATTTTAATATCAACTGGCAGAAATAAGCCCCTCCGTGTCTATAGCATGGTAAAATATGCGGCCATAGCACAGGGAGATGCTGAAATTTTCATGAAATTTGCAAGAGCTGGTTACAAAGAGAAGATTTGGGACCACGCAGCTGGTGTTCTCCTTGTACAAGAGGCTGGCGGTGTTGTAACCGATGCAGGAGGGCGTTCACTTGATTTTTCTAGAGGGATATACTTGGAAGGTCTTGATAGGGGAATAGTTGTTTGCTCCGGCGTTAAGCTGCATGAGAAACTAATTGGAGCTGTTTATGCCAGCTGGGATTCCTCTAATCTATGAGCCTCCCTTTTCTGCTCGACAGTCGGNTCTTATCTGCTAGACAGTTGGTGATGGAATCCTATTTTATTACGTGCTTCCAGGTAAAGTCCTTTTCTATAATTTAGCGTCTCACTGGATTGCATCTGCTTCTCTAAATTAAATTTCATAAAACCAAAGATCTCAGATTGCCAATGCCCAACCTGAGTTTAGATTCCTACTTGTAGTCTCATTATTGGGAAATTTTATGACTGCAGGTGGTAAACTTTTGTACTATTCACATTTGAATTTAGAAGTGGTAATATTTCAGGTGACAAACCTTTGCAAATGGAGTTCGCTTTTGCAATGGTTCATGAAGATCTGTGTTTTCTCTGGGATGATATTCTATAAAATTGCGGACTGGTTTATTAAAGAAACAGGTAAATCTGAGGCTAATGTTGCAGAGAAATGTTTCCTAAATGGCTGGTTGATTTACCAAGAAGCAGATAAAACTGTAGTTACTATTGCAGAGAAGAGTTTGCTTGTCGTTCTGGGACTGTGGAGGCGAAACTTCATGCTTCAACGACCAAGTTAAAAGTACATATATGTTCCGCGCTTCTGCCCCCTCCCTTAAAAAAGATGCAAGAGGACTGATGCTGGCTTCTGATACTATTGGTAGATATCTCAGTTTTAAAATGGATTGGAATGTCCAGTGACTCAATTTGACTCGTGGGAGATGTTTACCATACAATAATCCTTTAATGTATTCTATTGATATACAAATACTTTAATTTTATTACCAAACTACAAATTGAAACTTGTATCATTCAAGAACGCCTTTAGAGCTTTATTCGATTGAAAGTCAGAGGCTCCTCAAAATTTTTATCTCCTCCCATGTCCCATGGTTTTAGGATGTTCAAGACCAACCATATTTACAAACCTATTTTAGTAAATGAGTTGAATACTTCTTTTGTTCAAATCCCAGTTGGTCCAGTTGTCACAGAAAGCTGAAGTTTTATTGTGTCTAGAGAAATAATAGGCACTGAGGACACAGAAGTTGTAAAAGTCTTTTGGTGGATGAATCGAGAGAGGCCCCGTTGATCTTGTGTTGTAAATAGAGTTCGCCTGTGAGTTTTGAATATTATGGCTTCATGCCATGCTGACCGAAAATTAATAGACATATTTTCTTACTGTGGTGTCCAGACCAGTTTTCTAGCATCTCGACTAACCTGTTTGACAGACTGTTACTCGAGAGGCCTGTTACCTTCCAGAAGCACAAGTGTTGGGTAAATTTATCTCAATATTGTAGAAGATAGAGAGAGAACAATATTGTAAATAGAGCTCCATTGTGAGTTTTACATTTTATTATAGCTGCACAACTGCAAAGGTGTCACGACCCAGAATTCTCACCCTCGGGACTGTGATGGCGCTTAACATTTCACTTGCTAGTCAAACCAACGTTAGAATAGTTTCTAGCCATTTTTAACAATTCAAAGTAATTAATAACCAAGAACTGAATAAAGTGAAATATAGTGAGAAAATCATAATAACGATATCTAAATACAATCCCAGATCTGGTGTCACAAGTGCACGAGTGATTAAAATAATATAAATAATGGTCTGAATGAAAGTATAACTGTCTAAAATGAAGTAAACAACTAGAATAAGGTAGAATGGGACTTCAGAGTTGCGAACGCCGAGCAGTTGTACCTCAAGTCTCCGTCAGACAATCAATCCGAGCAATCTACTTACCGCCGCTAGGACTGACTCCAAAATCTACACAAGAAATGCAGAGCGTAGTATGAGTACAACCGACCCCATGTACTCTGTAAGTGTCGAGCCTAACCTCGACGAAGTAGTGACGAGACTAAGGCGGGTCACTTACAATAACATGTACGTAGTATAATAATAATAATAATAATAATAACAAGAAAGAAACACATGAAAAGTAAGGCAGTTAACTTATGAAAATAAACTCAATCCTCGAAAATCAGTAAAACTAGAAACATCAGTCCTCAAAATCTCATGTGAAAGCACTAAAAGCTAACACAATGCACAATGAATACAAAACACAAATCCGTTGCGGCGCGTAACCGGATCCCACCGTACAAATATAATCCTCCCTTATTTCACCATATCAATAACAAGAATAACATATAAAATCCGTTGTGGCACGCAACCCGATCCCACCATATAATCATAATAAATATCACAATCCTCCCTTATTGCACCATATCAAAATCACATATAAAATCCGTTGCGGCGTGCAACCCGATCCCACCATATCAATATCAATCCTCCTTTATTCCATCTATCGCGGCGTGCAACCCGATCCATAAACAAATTCAATAAATGTGATCAACTCAACAACTCAATTCACAAGAATTTCTACGACTAAAGAATATGAAAGCAAAGCAATAAAGAACCCCGTACCAAATCAAGGAATGCTACAATTAATACAAAGCAACAAGACAAAGCCAAATATAGGACAGTTAAGGTGTACAAGTAAGACAATTAAGGAAAATAGCAATTAATCATGAAAGCATGGAAGAAACTAACATTTTAATACCAGAATAATAAGTGACAAATAGCAAATTAAGGCATAGAAAGCAATTAAAGCATGTAATAGTTAAGACATGGAATAAAATAATTAATGAAATACGGAAAAACATGAAAATAATTATTTTGACGGCGTATATGCACTCGTCACCTCGCATATACGCCGCTACACATGTAATTCACATGAAAACAATTATATGTGATTTTGATATGGTGAAATAAGGGGGGATTGTGATATTTAATCTAATTATATGGTGGGATCGGGTTGCGCGCCGCAACGGATTTTATATATTATTCTTGTTATTGATACGGTGAAATAAGAAATGATTGTATTTGTACGGTGGGATCGGGTGTCGCGCCGCAATGGATTTGTGTTTTGTATTCATTGTGCATTGTGTTAGCTTTCAGTGTTTTTACACGAGATTCTGAGGACTTATGTTTCTGGTTTTACTGATTTTCAAGGATTGAGTTTATTTTCATAAGTTAACTGCCTTACTTTTCATGTGTTTCTTTCCTGTTATTATTATTATATTGCGTACAAGTTATTGTAAGTGACCTGCCTTAGCCTCGTCACTACTTCGTCGAGGTTAGGCTCGACACTTACAGAATACATGGGGTCGGTTGTACTCATACTACACTCTGCACTTCTTGTGCAAATTTTGGAGTCGGTCCTAGCTGCGGTCAGTAGATTGCTCGGATTGATTGCCTGACGGAGACTTGAGGTACAACTGCTCGGCGTTCGCAGCCCTGAAGTCCCCTTCTACCTTATTCTAGCTGTTACTTCATTTCAGATAGTTATACTTTCTTTCAGACCATTATTTGTATTATTTTAATCGCTCGTGCAATTGTGACACCAGGTCTGGGATTGTATTTAGATATCGTTGTTGTTATGATTTTCTCACTCTATTTCGGTTTATTCAGTTCTTGGTTATTAATTACTTTGAATTGTTAAAAATGGCTAGAAGCTATTCTAACGTTGGCTTGTCTAGCAAGTAAAATGTTAGGCACTAACACGGTCCCGAGGGTGGGAATTCCGGATCGGTGACAAAAGGGAAGTAAGGAGGCATGTTGACGCAAAATTACTCATATGTTCTTTTACAGTTGTGCCCGAACCAGTTTTCTTGCATCTTGACTTCTTTTTGACGACTGTTGTGTCGAGTGGCCTGTTACAATCTACAAGCACAAGTGTTGTGTAAATTTGTCTGAAGATTGTAGTAGATAGACACACTAAATATTCACAGAAGTTAGAATTTAGAATCCTCAAGTTGTTCCTGTACCTCAACCAGTGTAAAAAAATAGTACGGGCTAACCATTTTTCGGATTGGTAATGAAAAAATAGCCAGCGTTTGCGAAGTCATTGAAAAATAGCCACTCTTTTACTGAAACAGGAAAAGTTCCAGCATAATATGCGGGATTATGGAGCTAGCACATTATAAAATTCCAGCATATTATGTTGGAAGCTTATATGTAAAAAATTCGAACTCTAGCATATATGCTGAAATATTTCCGGATGTTTAACAGTATTTTTGTTCAGATTTTATCTTTATATGAAAAATGACTAAATTTCGATTTTTTTTAAGCTGTGACTATTTTTCAATTAACAATTATAAATCCCGCTATTTTTGAATTTCACCCCAACCAGTCAGTCAGTCCCTTATCAAATACTAATGTATTTTCTCATGAAAATCCTCAGAAACTACTACTGTATATGTTGCGCATGTTGGGGTGATGATTCTTATCATCCATAGATGAATACTGAAATTACGAAGAGAAGTACTTAAATAAATCCAAAAATTTTGACTAATTTGAAATATCAGTTTACTAAGTATTAGTTTTGGTAATTGATAAGTAGACCTTGTGTCAAACATCTGCGAATATTTTATATTAAATATTTGTAAATGAAAGTAGCCGTCTGTCTGCTTCGTTTTGGCGGTGTTCAACTGTCGTTCGGAAGTTAAATTTAAAAATAAATTTTGAAGCGATTATCCAATGTCGTTACATTTAGGAAATGCAATACTTATACAATTTTTTTGGGACTGAATATCTTTTTCCCATATTTTATATTTTTGTCAATAGATCGCAATACCACTCAGAGATATGGTGAAATAGTTGAATTTCCTTTTGCCGAGCATGGAAAATGAATATTCTTTTAGTAGGAAAGATGTTTATTTCCTTGGTTTATCTGCCACTAATATGAATTAATTGGATTAGAGGGGTTTCATATAGGGAAATGTCTAAATCAAATAGAAAAAAGAAGGAATAAAGAATAGTCACTAGAAAGATAAAGGATAAGCATTGGACGAGGCGCGCCAAAACCTCATCTGACAAGGAACTCAACTCACTATCAATGGCGTTATCCTGTTCCACTATATCTCACAGGGCAGGATCCTGTGGTTATCTTCCTCATTCTTTTCAAAACAAAGCCTTTTTCCGTACCCACCTCCTACTTCCGGTCAGCCCACTTGGTATTACAATTCCAGCAAGACCAAATTTTGCTAGACTTATA